CTCCAGGGTAGAGAGAGTCTCAGCTCCAACTGAATGCATTTGACACTCAAGAGCCTGCTCAATGATTAATTTATTTAGTCTCTTAAAGTTCCCTGCTTCCTGGAAAAGCCAGAGTGTGTATTTCTACAGACCTCAGTCCTGCTCACCTTGGAATTGCAAGTTTTGACAAGGACTTTAATATCCAGTAAGCGGGAGATCAGGAAAAACTGTAGCATAGAAAACTAAGAGCTTTACCTCTTACAGATACACTGCCATGTCCTACCTAAGGACCACTGCACCTATTTGTCATCACTAAATTTATGTCAGTCACAGAATAGACACTTGTGGTGCATGCAAACGGACCTCTGACTGGAGGATGTAAGGGGGTCAGTATGGGTTAAAGCAAGTCAATCAAAGGAGAACTGCCCAGTGGCTGCTGGTGCTGTGGGATTGTGCCCTGTTGGGGAGGGCATAACCCAGCATGGCTCGCTGCTGCTGGCTGTAGGCTCCCCTTAGGGAGCAGCCCTGCTGCTGACAGTATCCCCAACAAGGGGATTTGGAACCCCTCTCTCATCTTCAGATCAGTAAGATTCTGCAAGAAGGGTGAAATTACTGAAATAGAGACTACCTTAGCTATATAAGCTCTTCCTGGATTTTTCTTTCATGTTTTTGGCAATCTTAGAGTTTGAAGAGTAGGCCTGCACAGTTAAAGTTTGAGGAATACCTGCCTAAAATGCAGGTCCTACAAATCTTTATGCATGGACTTAGCTACTATTCCTAAGTGTGTGCAGAAAGGATGTGTGGGCCTGGTGCCTGGAATGCTTTTGTTCAGAACTTGGAGCCCCAGCACCTTGAGCTGAAACGATCACCGCAGTCAAGTGCTCAGGATTTCTGAGAAAGTCAAACTACTCAAGTTAACAAAACTGCAGCCTGTGTGCATCCCAGTGCAGCCGATTTACAGAGACTTCATCATGCACCCCTGGTAGCCAGAATGACTGATGCAACCTGGCACCTGCATCTTTGCTGAGCTGCGTCGCCAAGATCAAGAGAGCATGGGGTCCCACGCACAAACAGGCCTTCACCTGAAGACCAGAGTGACAGAACTTGTGTGAGTAGCAGTCTTGGACCATAGGGTATGTTTTAAGTAGTACTGGGGGAGTGAAATGCGGTTTGCTTGTTGTTTTGGGGTTTTGTTTATTTTTGTTTTAAATAGAAATATATATTTATATATAGTAATTCTCCACTTCTGAGAAGAGAGATCTGAGGCTGCCTTCTGTTCAGGCCAGTATGGTGCCCGAGTGGAAAATTTTAGTCTCCAGTTTCAGTAAAATGCAACTTAGGCTAGTTCTTGTGAATAGTTGTAAAAGGAAAGTTACTGCAGCAGAGCTGTCTAATCAAGAGGTCTCCATGGACAACCTGTCATCCTGATGAGAGACACTTCTTAATTAAGCAAAGATGCCGCATTGAAGCTGAAACAATTCCTAAATGTCCCAACTTCCCTCATCATATCAATGAGTCTGAGACTACAGAGCTCCAAAGAACAAGGGGTTTTAGAGGATTTCAAATGAATTTTAAGTCCAGAAGTTCAACACTCGAACATGCAGCATGTAGAGAACACACTTCAAAATGTGTTTGAAGAGCAGTAGCACAGTTTTGTACTACTGCAAAGATCTTTGAAAGGAAGAGTGTGGGTAGCATCTCAAGTATTGCTGGGGAGACCTGAGATCCACGCACTTCTGTGAAAAGCTGAACTTTGCTTGCAGGCAGATCAATTAAGAAGCAGCTTTTGCAGCTATGCTTAACTGATTTCCTGTTTGAGCACCTCAATTACACCAATTTAATGATTAAAGTTGTTCCGATTAATGGGAAAAACAGAAAGAATCCATGGTCAAAATACTGGACAAACTGTTTAAGCTAATGAGGGAGGTCACTGATGTTTATGAAGCAGCTGGCAGTGAGAGCCTGGAGGAGAAACAGCTGCCTGCAGATAAGCACTAAATTCAAGAACGGCAGCAAAGTGAAGGGGAACATGCTAGTGTGCTTCAACACATCAGGTGGCAACACAGACACACTGCATGAATATCAATCATCTCACTCAGCTGATTAGCACCCCTAGGTAACATCTACACTGGTGTGTAACGTAGCCCCAGGGCGTGAATCTGGGTGCTCAGTCCCCGATCAACTGCTCTGCAAAACATATCAGTGTACTATATTCTAGACTATATTCTGGAGTAAAATTCTTTGCAATAGTCCACATTCAGTAACTCTAATTGCTCCTGAAGGACCACCAGTTGAACAAGGCTGTCCTGCAGGGTACCCTGCAAGAGCTACATGTCTAGAAGACTAGGGCACAGGCACGCAAACCAACACGGGGTCTGGGCTGTGTTTAGCTGGACGGCAACCTGGCATTTTAGGAAGGTGAAAGCCAGATCTGCAAGAAATCATGCAGCAGAGTTACAGGCAAGTCCTCGCAGCAGTTTTGGTTGCTTTTCCTAGAAAGAGGCTGGTCCCAAAATGGCCCACTGCCTATTCTTCCTGTACCTATATGCTTGACTAAGAGAATATGAAAGGTGTAGGACAGAAAATGTCTTCAGATGCTGTTTATTAGCTCTCCCCTTGCCCCCAGGTAAGGGAACCATATTTGGTTGTATGCTTTGGGCTCTGAGTTTGTAACGACTGAACAGAGAGAGCATGAAGTGCCCTGGCTTGTCATGGCAAAAGTGGATAGAGTGACGGCACTGGGGCATGGGCTGCTTAGAAGCAGTGTCTGTATGAAGACTCACTGGGTGCAGATAATGCCCATCAGCAGGTTCTCCATGTGCCCGGTTTGAAAATTAAACAGAAGCAGCGTTAGAGCGAGTGCCAAGGAGTCCACCTGGGCTAATACTACTTGGCTTCTCTGCCCTGGCACCTTTTACAGTGTAGATGTAACCGTCCTGTTCATTGCCTTGCTTTGCTCCTTTCACAAACATACACAATAGGCTGATAATTCCAAGGCCAGAGACATGCTTTCAGCCAGTTTATGGCGCAGAACTACCATTCAGAACAAACACATATTTTGGCAACAGTATGTGCAGCAAGGGCACCACAGAAATGAACTGCAGTTGCCATCATATTGTGGCAATGGGGGTCTTCCTGATGGGCTTAGGGGAATGCAGAAACAATACAGGCAATGTGTCAGGCTTTTCCAGGTCTAGTCCTCCCCAGAAACATTAAAAAAAAAAAAAAAAAAGGAAGAAAAGTAACAAACATCTTAAACAATGTGTTTCTTGGGAACTAAGAGCAATACTGGCCACGTTATTTAGTTCCTTTCTGGCCTGTGTTCTCCTCTGACACCAAGCCTCTCGGTGGTATGTACCCTGCTGCCTGTGAGGCTGTGGTCCAGATCGGACTAACGCAGTTTAAGACAAACCCTCCAAAGTCCGTCATTTAAAAAACGTGGATTGTCTTGGATCTGACTTAGGGCACAGCTATGGGAACAGTTCCTGAGCACAGCTGTATTAATTTAGGCTCCAGGGGACAAGGTGGGAGTAGAGTGAGGCCAGATTGATTAAACCAGATCTACTGGCGATGGAGCATGAAGCTGTGCTGTGATAGCAGTTGGTGGCTAAGGGAGGTATGGATGTATCCGCATTACTCAGCCAGTAATTCCAGTCACATTCCTTCTGTTCACAGCTTGCTTGTTTCCTCAGGAGCCTGTGCTCTTCAAGCTGGGTGTTCTCTTTGCCTTTGGTGATATTCCCCATTTGGGAGCTCACCTCTGTGTGAAAGCTCATTGTTCGCATTAGGCCTATATGCGGTGCTGAAAATAAAAATTCTGCAGCACAACAGATTTGATCACTTCATTTTCTTGCCTAAAGCACACTGTGATTTCTTCCCGTTTGGCTCTGTGGGTGGAACAGGCATTTCAGTATATGCTGCCACGCTCATTACAGGGAGTTCTTCCATGCGAGAGATATTAACATCTTTGTTATTACTGCCAGTTCTCTCCTCCCCCGTACCAAGCGGTCGCCTGAGCTAGAATTCCTTTTAAGGACAGACTCCTTAGTAGTAGTATTCTCCTCCTCAAAGTGAAGAAGATCTCTTTAGAGGTCAGTTCCTTCTGCTTTCTCAGAATCCTGCCTCCCCCACATTCCTTAGAAAGTCATTATGAAAGATGTCAAAACCACTTGCAAAAATATCACAGAAATTCTAGAAATCAGTGTCACAATAACCTCTTCATAATCATTAACAACTCAGAACCACAGCATTTGAGTTAAAAAGTTTTATCCAAGAAAAAAATCTTTAACATTTAATATAAAATCAAAGTTTGACATCGCTTTTTTTTCAAATGTCATCCTTTTTCTGTTCATCAACTCACAATTAGAAGATCACAATTAAAAAAGTCATCCTAAATACTTTTAAAAGCCTTATAAAAACATTCATAAAGTGCCACCCACAAAAGCACCTAAACAAGAATCTGAGAGAGATACCTATTAGGAAGTTAATTTACTGAATTCCTGCTGAGGACTAAGCTGTCAGACAGCAGTGTAATTTGTGGAACTGTCAACTTAACAACCATACAACCCAGCAAAAAATACCATTTCACAGACATGGCCCCAACAGAGCATCAGCCGGGCCCACAACATGTACGCAGGGGCACCCATCACAGTGTTGTGGGGTTTTAAAATAAATAAATGCTAACACCACCTAAAGCCAAGAACACCGTCAAGCGGGAGGTGTGGATGCTAAGGGGAGCGGTCATCCCAGACTGTGGCCTTACTGCGAGGGGAAAACCCAGACAGCTCCTACAGAAAACAGATACAGATTTTAGCTGTTTTTTTACTGGGATAAAAGTCACTTCCCACTAGAAATAACAGAAAAAGGCACTGATCCTGGGAACGTCTCTATGTTCTCCTCTCTGGCCTTGAACGTACCATACCGTATAAGCACCTTTCTTTTCCCCATCCCCAAAAGAGGGGCTCAGAACACTGCGGTGAACATGCACTAGTTCGTTCGTCAGTGGCCTCCCTCTTTTCCCCCAAGTGTCTGGGCAGTGCTCACAAACAGATTTACCCAGAAGAAAAGGGGACAGGCTCTGAGGGCTCCCTCCCCCAAAACTCACGCCCCGTACGAGGTGTCCAGGGAGCAGCTGTGTGTCCTCCCAACAGCAGGGAAGCTGCCTATGGCCCAGGTGGCCGCCCCCCCTCCACCATCTACTCCGTGTGGTGCTTCTGGTGGCGCACCAGCTGGGGCTGGAACCGAAAGCTTGCCCCACACTGGGCGCAGCGGTACGGCTGCTCCCCGGTGTGGATGCGGGTATGCTTGATGAGGTTGGAGTTGCCACTGAAGCCCCGGCCGCACTGGCTGCATTTGTAAGGCTTCTCGCCGGTGTGGGTGCGAGCGTGGTTAATGAGGTCAGAGCTCTGCCCAAAACGTTTGCCACACTGCCCACAGGCGTAAGGCCGGACGCCGTCATGGGCTCGCTGGTGCTGAAGGAGGTGGGAGTGTTGGCTGAAGCTTTTCCCGCAGGCCGGGCACTTGTAGGGCCGCTCGCCTGTGTGCATACGCTGGTGTTTGATGCAGGTGGAGCTGTCGCTGAAGATCTTCCCGCACTCGCTGCACACGTAGGGTTTGAGCCCGGTGTGGATGCGCTGGTGCTTGAGGAGGTTGGAGCTCTGGCTGAAGCTCTTCCCACACTCGGCGCAGGTGTAGGGTTTCTGGCCCGTGTGGACCCGCCGGTGCTGGACGAGATGGGAGCTCTGGCTGAAGCCCTTGCCGCACTCCCCGCAGAGGAAGGGGCGCTCCCCAGTGTGCATTCGCTGGTGCTGGATGAGGTGGATGCTCCGACTGAAGCCCTTGCCGCACTCAGAGCAGATGGTGGGCCGCTCTGCACGAGGGGCTCGCCGTGAGGCTGCTGCCACCCTTCTTTCCTGTCTTTTCACCAGGCTGATAGCAGAGCAAGGCAGCTTCGCCTCCTCTTCCTCCTCACAGCCACCCTGCAGAGCCTCTGAGGAATCGCGCTGACTTTCACGGCTGTCCCCTAGTTGTTCCTCTCTTCTTATGGACCCCGCTGCCAACACGTCCTGCAGATCCGCACTCCCAAGGCGGTCTGGAAAGGGACCTAGCTCACCACCTGGAAAAAACAGTATGGCTCTAACTGCAATTCTGGCTGGAAAGTGGCACAGCAGAGAACAGGCAAGCCATTACCGTAGGGACCTTGGTCTGCACCGTGTCGGAGAAGCAGTAATGGGGAGACTGGGAGCAAATGGAAACCGAGCTGCCGGAGAGGCTGTGTGGCCTCATCATGTGACCCAGAGCAGATGTGCCACGAACAGCAGAGCCAAGGGCAATGCTACGGGTGTCTCCTTGCCCCCAAGAAATCTTCACATTTTGTCTTCTAATATTCTGTCTTCTTATACATACAGCAGGCTGACAAGGGCAGGCTGTCTGCCTGCCCTGAGGGGAGAAAGAGCAGGTTCTCAATACGAGCTGCATGAAATAAAGTGGCTTACTGAGGCAGCTCAAAGAGCATTTTGCTTGCTCTGTGTTTATAAACTTATCTATTTCTCACCCATTTGTGTCTCCTTCAAGACCTCATGATCTTGTTCTTCTCCTTGGTCCATCCGGGCAGTTAAGTCAGGTTCAGCAACCAGGAATCCTTCTTAAAAAGGAAATAAAAGTCATCTTAGTTGAATTTTCAGCAAGAGCTTGTCATATGTCTTCAAATCTACCGCCCCTGCTGAATATGGGGAACAAGCAGAGTGGTTGCATAAAAGAATGGAGTCAAGTGAGCAACAAACATTTATGGACATCCAGTGCACCGCATCTGGTGTCAGATACTTTCCTTAAAGGAGATTCAAGGTTGCCCCTCTTCTGATAAACGATATACATTAGGACATACACCAGATGTGCTGGACTCAGAACTGGTTGACACCAATCATAGATACAGGAGTAAGCAAAGAGCAAAACCCAGCCATACTTATATTTCTTTAATAATGACGGCCAAAAGACCAATTGCTCTCCTAAGATTATTTTAAATAGAAGATGACCCTTTAGTCACCAGAACATGATTTTCTTACTTGCTACCTCATCCCTTCCTTCTCCTCCAAGACTCTCAGGCTGAGGCAGCAAAACCCAACAAAATGGGCAGTTTGATGTCTTGTCTATTCTAGCTGGATTCTGTTAGTTCCCAGCCTGGCAGGGTTAGTTAGGTGAGGAACAGTTAGTTCCCTGCTGAGCTCCAGCAACTGCCATGAATGCAACTGTTGGGTAGGGTGCTCTTACAAATGCCATCAGTACCAAAGACAAGAATTTTTCCTTCAGTTTTTACTATTTTAAGGCCAAACCTAGCCAAACAGTAAGCAACAGCAGTTAGCAGCAAGAGAACAGGCATTAGCAATTGCTGCAGAAAAATGGCAGAAGAACAAAGAAAATACACTGGTAAGAAAAATCCCACTTTGTTTTTAAAAATAAGAACCAAAGATGGCAGGGAAAGGATACCACGTGAATGAATCTAGGACAGAAGACTGCTAAAGCTGAGATCACTTACAGGAATATTTTAAAAGCATTTGACATTGTTACTTTTTTCCCCTTTTAATCTCCATAGGTACTGAACTCTGCTTCAGGCTACCAATCTCTCTGGACAACCAATACCTCTGGACAACTACTCAAGCTCCAGATGGAACTAACTGGACGGATGGGCACTGGTGCAAACAAACACTGTAAACGGATGAGTGCCTGGGCCTGGACCACTTCATCCATCACTGACAGCTATTTAATGAGAAGGTAATGGGTAACAAGGGGTTAGACAGTGTCAGAATCAAGGAGACAGTGCAGATGAAGGGAACAGTTTTGGACCTCGGATGCCCGTGATTACAAAATCACCAGTCTTGAAGTCTTTTTTCTATGTGGCAAAGCTGGACAGAAAGAAAGGGAGCAAGCAAAAGAGAAAGACTACAATCTTGAACTGCAGAACCATGAAGAAAAAAAATAATCAGATAAGCAAACAAGAAGCCTTAGCAAAAAAAAAAAAAGAAGCCTTTAAAGTTAATAATCTGAGTCCCTACTTTAAATATTTGCTGAATGCTGAAGTGGACCACCCCTGCAGACGGATCATTTCCGGCAGTTTCAAGTCAATATACACAGGGAGGCTGCCTTCTGCAGCCCTACCGCTCTCGGGACTTTGCTGCTACTGACAATTTCTGCTGTGACAATTTGGCAGCACAAGCCGACCAAGCTATTTACATGCTGCAATATGTACCAGGTGCCCCCGCTCCGCCTCTAGAGCGGGAGGAGTCAAACCCCTGTCCACACACAGACCTTCCCCCCAGGCAGCTAACCACCAGCAGCAGGGTTGCTCTCTGAAAGCTGTCAACAAACCAGGGACTTTAGAGGAGCAAATCCCTCAGCATTTCAGAGGTGGTACCAGTGTCTGACAAATGCCCAACAATCCCCACCTGGGGAAACATCTAAGCAAGCAGACAAGGTAGAAGGAAGAGTTCCCTTCCAGCCCCGCAAAAATTTCCAATCTCGGGTTGCCACTGCCACATTGCTGCTATGCTCAGATTTGCTATGGCAGCTCAGCAGAAAGCGGATAACCTTTATACAATTAACAGGCTAGTCTGGAGTAAGAGTTGCTTCCTTTCCCATGATCACAGTCATGTCTCTCTGAAAGGAGGGGACAAACCTCAGCAACAGAGGGGACGTTCCTTCAGGGATTTCATCTGTTACCAGCAGAAGCGTATCCTTGGGCGTATCGGGTTATTGCTCCAACATAGAAACTGAAACAGGAAGAGTGTCTGTGGATGTGGGTGTGTGGGGCTACTGTAGGCAACACCCACAGCTTTACTAAACCAAGATGTGAAGGGTATCTAATTTGGACCTCCAGTGGGGGCTTTGCAAACACACCATACTGTTCCTGGGGCCTTGGCTTTAGTATTGCAATAGCATATATAGATTTTTTTTTAGCTGGGTCCTGTAATTTGTGTTCTTTACCTTGGCTACTTATTTTCTCTTCCGACCACTCAGCTCTGTATTCCTCCCATGGCTGTACCAAGCTGTGGAGGTTACGGGACTCATCCTAGTGCGGAGCTCCATGCTTTCAGCTTCTCGTGCTCCCAAAGCGCTGTCAGAAGCGAAGCGCTCTCCGCACGCCCATGCCAGGCACGGCAGCACAAACCTGCAAGTCAGAAGGTGGCGTTCAAATCTTCCTCTCCCCAACTATTATCCAGGATAGGTAATGCTTGCAGTAGAGTGGAAAGGCAGGAGACATTTTTACCACAGAAAACAGTTAATCCTACAGCTGCACCCGCTTCTCCGGGGTGTGAGGAGGGCCCCCTTCCCCACACCCTCAGATCTGTTCACCAGCTACAGGGCTTGTCCGGGGCTGCCCTCCTGCCCAGCCCGGGATGCTGGGGGGGGGACGGGGGGGACACCCAGGGATGGGGGGGCGGGAGGGCCCCTCTGGAGCGCCCGGAGGCGGGGGGGGGTGTGGGTGTGTGTGGGTGTGTAGGAAGGGGCAAAAGCACGGTGTACGTTTTGGGAACAAGGCTCTTCCACAGAGCAGCACCGCTGCCCGTCTGCAGCAGCCGCCAGAGGCACTGGGTGGCAAGCGGGGAAAGGCGCGCACTCGCCCCGCGGCAGGTGGGCCGGGGTGGAAGGGGGAGAGGGAGGCACTGAGGTCTAGAGAACTACAGGAGAGGGACGCGAGCAGGCAGGGGCGGCAACTCCGGCAGAGCGGGGTCTGTGAAAGGGGGCAACTTGGCCCTCTCCGGCTCCTCCGGGCGGCTCCTTCCTCCACGGGGCCGACAGACGTGAGGCTTAACGCCCTCGGCGCGGCCGAGCCTCCCCGCAGAGCCGGCGCGGACCCGCGTGGGCACCCCCGGCCCTGCCCCTCGCCGCCGCCCCGGCCCCGGCCGAGCGGGAGGGACGGAGAGGCCCGGCCCCGCCGTGCAGCGCCGCGCCTACCTGCAGCGCGCCCGCTCCGCCCGGCGCCGGCAGCCGCTTCCTGCTCCGCGGGCAAAGGGCGCTTCCTGGGCGGAGCGGGAGGCGACGGGGCCGGGGCCGGGGGGCCGGGGGCCGGGGGGCCGGGGGGCCGGGGGGCCGGGGCCGGGGCCGGGACCGGGGCCGGGGCCGGGGCCGGGACCGGGACCGGGGGGCCGGGGCCGGGGGGCCGGGGCCGGCCATGCTGGGAGAGGAGCCGCAGTGTCGGGCAGCCTCTCGGCGTGTGTATGTGTGTGTGTGTGTGTGTGTGTGTGTGTGTGTGTGTGTAGCAAGCGCTTCCCCGTAGCGCAGTCGGGTGGTTCGGCGCTCAACTGTGGAGCTTTTAACTTGAGGGCGGAGGGGAAGCTGCCGGTGGGGGCTGCGTGCTGCCCGACTGTGATAGAAACCGGGACACACGGCAGCGCCTTCTGAGGGACGCAGCCCCGTGCAAGGCGGGAGGGGAGCTAGGAAGTCGCTTAGTTCTGGAACTCCTGCTTCGTTGGGAGTTTTCCCCAGGGGAAAGAAACGTACACGTGGTTTTACGAAGCAGCGCCTGCTCTCCTTAATTTCTCCATGTAATTCAGACCTGGAGGGAAGAAGGTAGATGGCTGCGTGCGCTTTCATGAAATGTAGGAAACCTGAGAGCTTAGGTGTGTAAATGAGCTCTTCCCTCACTGACTAAATTGGAGAAGTTCTCCCTACGCCGTAGGTGACATAAGAAGGGGTTAATTTCAGCCTCTGCAGTGCTGAACTGAAGCCCGTGCCTGGAGACCCCCTTCAGGGCCTGCCGGGCACACTGGAGAGCTGCTGCATCGGGGGGTGCACCAGCCAGCCCGCTCCCCAGGCAGTTCCCGGCGTGGCTCTGCACTTGGAGCAGCTCCCGCAGCGCTGCTGCTCACCGGCATAAACCAGGCCGCTCCACCGCCGGACCCGCTGCGGCACCGGCCTCCAGCACCGTCCCTGCCGCCCGCTGCCCTGTGCGGTGCGGGGACGTTCGTTCCCCCGGCCTCGCCCGGTCACAAGTCTGATTCCGGGTTGGGGCTGACAGGGACCAGCCATCCGTGAGACCACAGCTTTTCTTGCCGTGGTGACCTGGATGTTTGCCGTTTTCTTGCCGTGGTGGCACGTGGGTTTCCCTGCCACCTTACCGGGGGCTGGGGAGTGGGTTGGAACACGGAGGAAGCCACCCTGTGGCCACCGGCACAGGCAGGGCACAGCAGATGCGCTTCACTCCACGAGGCCTAAGAAACAAGCAGCTTTCCACCTTGGCCCCCATATCCCAACTGATAAATACACTGCCTTTTTGGGGGGTGTTTTTTTCAAGCCACTGCTTGCTCTAAGGTGATAATACAGAAAATTACCCAGCCTTTCTAGGAGCTAAGCCACCCAAATACGTAGTATGTGCTTAGCAGTGGTACAAAACAGGCTGGCCATGAGATAAAGGACCCAGGTGAGGGCACAGAAAAGAGCGGTTTTCCAGGAATCTGGAAATCTTGCCTACTAACAAAGTGAAAAATATTTTCAAAGACTCCTGATTCCACTTCAAGCTATTGGTAGTAGGGCACAAGTGATCTGAATTAGTTGGAAACCTTATTGACTGTGTGTCCTAAACTGTATGGGAATTGCAGTAAGAGAGAAATGAATGGGGTTCAGTGTTGTCATGCTGACGCTTTGTTTGTTAAGGTTTAAGCATCAATTTGCATTAAAGACTTTTTCTGTTGGAGAAGTGATGACTGATATGGGCTCATTAGACTCACAGTCTGTAATTTCACTGTCTGTGGACAGATGGAGAAATGGTCGTCAACAAAATAAGATGGGAATACTGAAATAGAATGAAAGGGAAAACATAGCCCCATCAATTTACAAAACAGTACAACTGACAGGCACATTGCTGTATCCTTATCATGCTTGTAGCATATAGCACATGTGCTGAGAAGTGTGGAGGGTTGAAGATCAATATGTTCACAATCAAAGTACAAATGTATGCAAAAGAATGAAAGAGAAAAGTAATCCTGGTTGCTGGATCTCTGTCCTTGGAGGATTTTGAAACGGGGCTCGACAAAGCCATGGTTGACCTGATCTGGTGCTGCTCATAGTTCTGCTTTGAGCAGGAGGTTGAACTCCAGAGGTCTTTTCCAATCAACATTTCTGTGATTCTGTGACCAAGATGTAGGCAATGATGAGTTACCATACATGCATCATCTTACAGACAATTCAGTAATTAAAAGTTGGTAATTTGGGAGAAATCTTCAGAAGAGGGTTTGGCTGTCTTAAAAATGCATAAAGCAATAAATTGCACAAAATGGGTAATGTGACAGTATCTCAAGGAAAAGCAGCAAAGTGTCTCCAGGTTGATATAAATGGTAAACCAGCATTTACTAGAACACTATTAAAATACAACTGCCTGAATTTAGACAGATGCTTATGAAAAAGTTCTTGCATTTCAAAATAACTGTATCAGTTCAGAAACACCACCATGTTAAGCTTTGGCCCTATTTTTTACTAATTCTGAGCAATCTTGGTGTTTGATGACTTTGAACTGCAGCTGACCAGTGTTTTGGAAGTCTCCTTTCCTTATTTTCTTTTTGACAGAGCTGATGTATCAGTTTTAAAATGTTACGTGCTTCTAGTGTTAATAGTATTTTGTCTTTAAAAAGCCCACAGTACTTAAATAGGTGAAATAATCAAACCCTCATGTCTAATGAAGAACTTGTTGGAGAAAAGCAATGAGAAATTCCCAGTGGAAATGACAGTAGATAAGGAGAAATACTGCATACGGGAGTAACTGTTTTTCCATTTTGCAGTAAGCTCTAACTTCAGCTTTACTGTTCTTCTGGTATTGTGGTACCGAAAGGAATGCCATACTTACCTAACAGGTTTACAGTAATTCATCTACACTCCGCAAAACTGACACCTGCATAGAAGGAAGGAAGTTTACTAAAGACATTTGAAGGATTGTGGCTGCCCACTGAAGATTGTTTCTTAAACTTATGTATTGATCAACCATTTTCACCTGCACTGAAAGAGCTTTTGGTGCAGAGTGATACATTAATCACTTCTATGTAGAGCACTGACACTGCACAGCTGCTAAAAGAGAAATAAACAACGAGAGCAGTTTGCTGTCTTACTCTTCTTCAAGCCTATTTGGCAGGAAACTATTCCAAGTGTTTCAGCTCCATCAACACATGCAGTTTTCTATAGCCTAGAGAAGATTGCTTGTTAACACTGCAAAAAGTTAAGTGCAGTGCTTTCCAAGAAGATAATGACAGCCCTTGGTTTGGATGTGAAGTTTTAAAGCTTTTTTCCCCACCCCTTTCCAATAGTTGCTGATATGGAATTACAAAAACACAGAGTGGTTGAGGTTGAAAGGCACCCCTGGAAATTGTCTGTCTAGTCCAACCCCCTGCTCAAGCAGGGTCAGCCAGAGCAGGTTGCCCAGGACCACGTCCAGTTGAGTTCTGAGTATCTCCATGTCTCAGTTATGCTGCAGGGGAAAAAAATGAGAGGAAGCAAACTGCCGCCAGATTGAGTGAAAAAATTGGAAAGCAAGCCATTGCTATATCAATACTTAAAATGCAACTTCCCCAACCTAGGCATGTGCTTGTGCAAAAAAGAAGCAAACAAGAAAACTGCCTAACAGCAGCATCACCGTGTCATGTTCCGGTTTTTAGTAGTTCAGGGCAACTTCACTGTGTTTCAAAGATATGCATTCTTCAGATTACATTATGTGCCAGTACTCTGAGAAGATTCCAGTTCAAGGAATTCATATTGTGCCTTGCTAGTAACTGCTGCTTTGAGATTCTTGCATTGAACCAAATCTGCTAGCAGCCTTAAAAATGGATGCAGAAAGAAGACCTTTCTGCCAGGAGACTCAAGGACACTTATGACTGGGACTAAAATGACCATCACATCTATTGCCAACACATGATCAGGGCAGCCCATGAATAGCAACCCTTTATTGCCACAAACTTCTTGCTAGTTTTGATTCAAACTTACCCAGACTGGCTAAATTCCAGATTTTCCAAATAGAAATTTTAAAAATATGTATTAAAAAATGGGTGCACATCCATGGATCTGCTATTTTTAATGTGTTATTTTGCTTACAAATGTTGATACATACTCCCTTTTTAAAGAAATCAACCTCGATGTGTTTGGCCAATTACATACGAGATGCAAAATCAAAGTTATGTTTGTGCACCTGATTCACCACTTACTTTGGCAAGTAACATGTAGCTGAGGACATTTACTCTATTTGATGTTTAACCTCCCCTGTAATCATTAGGGGTTTGCCTAGGGACACTCCTGTAGACCAGCAATCTGTAGCTGACATGGGTGAAGGTTAGTGTAAGGAACTCGTGAAGGACCCTTCCCTAGCCCACAATGGACAGTTGCTGTCATTGTGTGATTGTGTGGTTTTTGACTCCCTAAATAAAAGAGAAAGGGATAAAGGAAAAAAACCCTTGTAGAGAGAGAGAAGTATAACAGCTGAGGGAGGAAAATCAGTGGGTAAGCCGATGCATTTCCAGCATTGAGTAATGGGAAAAAATTGCAAGTGTGGACCAGAACAAGGAACAAGCAAACACACTGGTGTGAATCCCTGTGGGAATTCACTGGAGACAACCCTCGAGCTCCTAAGGCTCCCCAGACACCCGGGGAAGGCACTGGTGGTGCAAGCTTGTTAATGGAGGTTATGTTTCATGTACTTACATACCTTGTCAGTGAAATGAGTGACTGCCTTTATCTCAGTTGCTGACTGCTTAATTACCCACTATCTAGATTTATTGCTTTGGCTATGCTCTTACAAAATCAAGTAAGGGCTAAGAACTAGAGAAACCCCAGACTGAAAAGCAACTGGGAAACTGCATTGAGAAGTCTTTCAACAGATGCTGGATTTTATCGCTTCTTCAGAAGACAGATACGAGTTAAATAGTTTGCTAGTTTAAAACTTTTTGCCCCCCCGCCCCGCCTGTTCCCTTACCACGGGGAAGAGGCTGCCTCTCATGAAATGGTGGCAGGTAGATGCGAGCAGAGTGGTGCCCAA